AAACTTTTCTGCTTTGAAGAAATATTGATAATTTAAAAAATGAGGATTTTTGGGTTAGCCTGGTCATTTTCCACCTTTAGCCAGCAAACAAATAAATGCAGTTTGACTGGTGCCAGCTGCCATATACAACTGGAACGGGGTAGGAAGGGTTTTTTGATCATTTCTCCATCAAATACTGAGCAGCCTTTCCTATGATAAGACCCCAGGGTCCTCCAGGCTGAGCCAGAAACTCCTCTGGACTGGAGCTGCACAGGAAGGGCGCTCAGTGCAGGCATCCATTTCAAAAGCCACTCATAATGAAGATTAATTAGCCCTCGTTTAGCAGCCCAAAGTTAAATACACACAGCCAAGGCCTTGGGCTTCCTCACACCACACAAAGTTTCCATGGGAAGCAGAGAAGAGTGGAAAGTGGGGACAGGAGAAGGAGGCTCAGCTCCCTTGTAAACTTACTTTAAAAATGCACCAGGATTGTTTTTTCTTGTTCACACAGAGGGATAAAATGCCTCAAGGGGCACTTTGGGCAAGGCAGGGTCACGTTCTGGGTCTGTTTGCAATAGTGCAGCTCCTCCAACCATGCTCTATTCATTGTCCTTTTTGGTGGCTGAGGGCTTCCCACCTTCCTTTATTCCATGCAATATTCTTTCCTTTCAAAAAGCCAAACTCAAGTACCTATATCTTGAATTTTTCAACCACAAGCTTTGATTGGACTTCAGAGCTTTGCAATGAGAACTTTTCCTTCTTTGTTGTCCTCTGAGGCATCACTTGGTCTCAGATTTGGTCTGGGGTGAATTTATTCTTTCATCCCACATTCCAGGCCTGGAATATGAATTAAGGCTGGGCTTGGTGATCTCAGAGGTTTGTCCAACATCGATGAGTCCATGATTTTAACCTTTTTAATAAGGCACCGATGCAGGGCGTCCTGCAGCTGGGAATCACCTGCACTTTACAGCTGCAGAAAGAGGGGCTGTGTCAATGCAATCAGTGAATTTGACTTTTCCAAACCTTTCCTAGGGCTGGGCTGCCCCACTCAGTGCTGTCCCCAGTGAAATCAGTGGGGTTTGACTTTTCCAAACCCTTCCTAGAGCCAGGCTGTCCCTCAGTGCTTTGCCCAACACAATCAGTGGATTTGACTTTTCCAAACCCTTCCTGAGGCCAGGCTGTCCCCACTCAGTGCTTTGCCCAATCCAATCAGTGGGTTTGACTTTTCCAAACCCTTCCTAGGGCTGGGCTGCCCCACTCAATGCTGTCCCCAATGCAATCAGCGGGGTTTGACTTTTTCAAACCCTTCCTAGGGTGAGGGTCTCCCTACTCACTGCTTTTCCAATGCAATCAGTGGGATTTAACTTTTTCAAACCCCACTCAGTGCTTTGCCCAACACAATCAGTGGGTTTGACATTTCCAAACCCTTCCTAGGCCCCTGCTATCCCCACTCAGTGCTTTGTCCAGTGCAATCTGTGGGGTTTGACTTTTTCAAACCTCACTCCGTGCTGTGCCCAAAGTAATCAGTGGGTTTGATTTTTCCAGCCCTTCCTAGAGGCAGGCTATCCCCACTCAGGGCTGTTGCCAATGCAGTGTGTGGGTTTGACTTTTCCAAACCCTTTCTAGAGCCAGGCTATCCCCACTCACTGCTTTTCCAATGCAATCAGTGGGTTTGACTTTTCCAAACCCTTCCTAGAGCCCTGCTTTCCCCACTCAGGGCTGTGCCCAATGCAATGTGTGGGGTTTGACTTTTCCAAACCCTTCCTAGAGCCCTGCCATCCCCACTCAGTGCTTTGTGCAATGCAATCAGTGAATGTGACTTTTTCAAACCCCACTCAGTGCTTTGTCCAGTGCAATCAATGGGTTTGACTTTTCCAAACCATTCCTAGAGCCAGGCTAGCCCCACTGAATGCTTTGTCCAGTGCAATCAATGGGTTTGACTTTTCCAAACCATTCCTAGAGCCAGGCTAGCCCCACTGAATGCTTTGTCCAGTGCAATCAATGGGTTTGACTTTTCCAAACCCCACTCTGTGCTTTGCCCAACACAATCAGTGGAGTTTGACTTTTCCAAACCCTTCCTAGAGCCCTGCCATCCCCACTCAGTGCTTTGCCGAATACAATCAGTGAATGTGACTTTTTCAAACCCTTCCTAGAGCCAGGTTAGCCCCATTCAGTGCTTTTCCAATGCAACCAGTGGGGTTGACTTTCCCAAACCCTTCCTAGGCCCAGGCTGTCCCTCAGTGCTCTGGCTGCCAGCACAGGAGCAGGGAAGGAGCCCTGAGCGTCCCCAGCACCTTTGGGCACACAAAATCCTCTCCCTGCCCCATTGTCAGGGCTGCTGGCTGCTCTCATTAACTTCAAGTGCCGTCGAGTGCTCAGCACAATGGCAAACCGAGCCCTCCACTCCTTTAAAGTGATCTTTGGGGTTTCATATTTATTTGCAAACCGGGGGCAGCGCAGCTCCTGAAAGAAAAGGGTTTTCCTCTTCACCCAGAGCTGGAGGTGGACACACGGAGCCCAGGCATGTTCTGCCAGCACAATGGCAACTTATGAATAAGATCATACTTGTATTTGCATTAACACGGCTGGCTTCTCCAGGCAGTTTTACATAATCTCCTTTTCAATGGGGAAGGGTGTCATTTCCCCTTCATTTCATACAGCCCCGCTTTGAAAATGTAGGGAGGAAGTATTTAAAGAAAGTCCGCATTTTATGAAAGGGAAAATTGCCAGCGTTCCTTTGTGTGTCTCAGTAGGATTTGGATAGATTACTCATACTTAAAAAGGAAGGGAGCTTTTGCTTTTTCTTCCCCTTTTTTAAAAACTTGCATTAACATGATGTATTGACATATTACAAAATCCAGGGAATGCTGGAGAGGGAATCAACTGCGGCTTTGTCCACAAGTTGCAACAAATTCTTAAAACGTCGTCACCTTCTGAAATAAAATTGTCACATTTTGGATACAGGCAACTTTTATAAGGACTAAAGCTCCACTTCTGAGATAGGGACAACAGTGTGTTCTCTCTCTCTCTCTTGCTTTTTCTTTCTGTTTAAAAATTCTCTTTTTTTTTTATTCTTTCCCCCCCTTTTGATCCAGTGTGCTGGGTACGAGTGCAGCACCATTTTCATAAATCAAGCAACTGGAATAGATTTTAATACAGAATTGTATTACTGCAGGAATGCCAGGCATGCAGGCTCGAAGCACTAGCACTTCTATTAGTTGAATGGAAGCCAATCCTTTAGCTGTAAGCACATTAAAAGGAAAATAATTCCCCTGCTACATTTCGGGGGTCTCTGATGCCAAAAATCCTCCCTGGAGTAACTCACAACTTTTTTCCCCTGAGTCGTCCTTGTCTCAGGGGTGTTACAACTGGTCAGTCACACTCTGAGGAATATGTTTTACAGCAGATATTAAATCCCACTGAGCTGCTCTCCTCTCTCTGACATCCTTGGAGTAAAAATAAAGTCATGGAGCAGTAGAACATCAAGGTTCAGTGCTGGAAGACACTATCAGCTCCCACAAAGGCTTCTATTCCTCCCAGGACCTATATTTATATTTGCTGATGACTCCTTGTCAATCTGACACTTGCTAATCAACCTTTGATGATAATTGTAATTCTTGCTGAGGACACTTCATCCCAGGAGGTCAAAAGGACATTTTGTACACTGAGATGCACTCTGTGCTTGTGTGCGACTGAATCCATGGGCACGTGTTTATATTTACAAGAGATGTTTGTGCTAACACTTCTTTTTTGGGGGATAAATTTTTTATCATTCTCCTTTCCCTCGTTTGCTGCTGTCTTTTTGCATCTATGAAATGTTGCTTATTGCTAAATCATCACCAGAATTTAAAAGGGAGGGGTGAACTTGCTGCTCAAAACAGAGGGGAAAACACAAGAAAATTTTAAAGGTGTTTTAGTAAAAAACTTGGTAAATATTCAGCTTTTTTTTTTTTAAGAGAAGGGTTTTTGTGAAATCAGTTGATAACATCTTCATCTAAATCCATTTATTATCTCCTATTTGAAAAGCACTTAGCTCAACAGGGCTCTGTGCCTTCACTGAGGTTTCCAGGTATCATCAGATCAAGAATCTTAAGTTAAGCACAGATAAAACGCAACAATGTTTTTTATTTTCTCCCTCCAAAAAGAAAGCAAATAGCTTGAGGCACCTGACACTGATGGTGTAGACTAAGCCAATTGGGAGGCTTTTCATTTTCATATTTTGGCACTGAATTTTATTCTTTTTTTTTTGAGTCCTTTTTGCCTTGACATTCCACAGGTTTTGGATGTGTTGGGCTAACCCCAGCCTAGATCCCTGCAAAAAATCAGATTTTGGGTTTGCTGGGTTTGTCGTGTGGGTTCCCAGCATCAGGAATTCCACCAAAGGATGGGTTTATATTTGTGTCTGTGCCTTTCTCTGGAGCACAGAGTCCTCTCCCAAGGACAGCAGCACGGATCTGCGGCCAGGAGGCACCAAGAGCCGGGCACAGGGGGCTGAGCTGCTGCAGGGCACTGCCCCTGCTCGCCCGCTTTGATTGCCCTGGTGTGCCAGCCTCGGAGCGAGAATGGAGGAATAATCTGCAGGATAATCCCTTCCTGTAGGAATCTCAGCATCACCTCGGTGGCTGGTACCCAGAGACTGCTCCTGGCTCAAGAACTGACCTCAATCAGAGAGCAGGAAAGCAAATTATCTCCCTGCTTCCACAGTTTGCTCCCGAAGGACTCCAGAACCTTGCATAAACAAAAACTAATTATAATACACACACAGAGAGACAAAAAATTTAGTAAAAAACTCAAAAGCTCTGCTCAGGGGCTGAACAAAAAAGGAATCTGGAAGAGTGAATGTCACAGTGCCATCTACTGACGCCAGCCCCGAGCCTGGAGGGAGAACACCCAACTGCAGGGGGAAAAAAAATATAAATAAATAAGGCTGGGAGTGTTGGAAGGATTATGTTTAAAGGAAGGAGATGACTGCTAATTAATGTGACAAGAGAGAAAGCCTCACCTACTGACAGGTTATTCATCCCACAAGTGTTAGGATCCTCCTCAGCGCTGCCTGCTCCTGTAATTCCTGCAGAAAGGAACAGCTGACCAGAGCCCTCAGTGCCAGCTCCCATCTCTCTGTTTTGTCCTGATGAGCTTTACACCAGAGGAGAATTACAGCCTGCTCTGTGGCGAGCAATTTGGAGGCATAAAGGAATGCAATTGTGGAATAAAACCCGCTCTGTGTGCTGTGAGATAACTTCACCTGCCACAGAAAACGAGCGGTGACTCGGAGGCAGGTAGGAGCAACATGTAATCCAGTTGACATAAATGAAAAGATGATATTGGCAGAAAATTGGGCTGCGTGTGAATATAAAGGCTGCTGAATAACAGGGAATGGGAAATGACATGCTCAGCAGCAGCGAGGGAAGGATGAAAGGGGTTCAGAAAACATTTGTACGGGAGAAGCCAAGCACGAGTCAACAAAGGCTGGAATTCTGTGCTCCTCCAGTGCTGCAGCCTCAGCCCTACCTGTGCTCAGGCTTGGCAAGTGCTAAAGTGTCAGAACAATTAGAGTTTGTTCTCTGGTTGCTAACGTGCCAGCTGAAGTGGAGGCTGAGGTGCTCAGCAAAGCCATTACTAAGCAAAATGAGGCATCATCATCACCCTCTGTATCACTGTCAGTAATTCCAGGGTAGGAATGGAATGAAGGGCGAGCCGGGAGTGATTTGGGATGGGAAAAAAAAAGCCAAGAGGTGAGGAGACTGCAGCATGGCGATTGAAATAAAGTATTCTGTGCGTTGTGAAGGGTTGTGTCAAGTATGAGAATTCAGGAGGAGGGAGAAGGGAGCACCTGCGCTGGGCTCGCTGAGATCCACCCCAGGTAGGTGGTGGCAGATGGAGCTGACATCCTGAGAGAGGCTAAGAGGTGAAAGCAATAATGAACAGCCTTCACAAGGTGAAAGCAGAAGAAACATTAGAGCTGTTACAGGAGAGCAAGCAGGAGATGCTCAGATTTATGAGCTCTTTTGGAGAGCAGCCATGGTTTGTCTTTATTTCCAAGTAACTGGTTCTTGATTTGAGCTTCCTCAGGTCAGCAGATCAGTGCCATCACCTCTGAAAGGTTCTCAGCCCTTATTTGGATCATCTAGCAGGCTCAAAATGAACATGTGGAGTGCAAGCACGATCTGCTTTGGGGGGAGCTGTCCTGAAAAGCAAAAGCAATGGAAAAAAGTAAGAAAAGAGAGAGAGAGAGGATTTTATTATGGCACCATCTGTCTCCTGGCTGTTAATATTTCTCTCCCCTCTTTGCAGTGATTCTGAGAACTGGGTTTGAGGATGATGTTGGAGGAGGGATGGTTCCAGAAGGGACCATGGCTGTGGCTGTCCCTCCATGGACAGCAGGGTCTGGATGAAGGGTCCTGTGTGACACTGATCCCAAAAGTAACACACAGAGCGAGCCTTGGCTTGGAGGAGGGCCAGCGAGTGAATTCCAGCTTGGTGCTCCTTTTCCTGCTCCCATTCTCTTTTTCCTTGCTTTGCTCCCATTCTTGGTGCTCCTTTTCTAGATCCCATTCTCTTCTTCCTTGCTCTTCTCCCATTCTTGGTGCTCGTTTTCTTTCTCTCATTTTCTTCTTCATTGCTTTTCTGCCATTCCCTCCTTCACTTGTTTTGAAGTGAATTCCAGCTTGGTGCTCCTTTTCTTCTTCTCATTCTCTTCTTCCTTGCTTTGCTTCCATTCTCTTCTTCCTTACTTTGCTCCCATTCCCTCCTTCACTTGTTTTGAAGTGAATTCCAGTTTGGTGCTCCTTTTCTTGCTCTCATTTTCTTCTTCCTTGCTTTGCTCCCATTCTTGGTGCTCCTTTTCTAGATCCCATTCTCTTCTTCCTTGCTTTGCTCTCATTCCCTCCTTTGCTTGTTTTGAAGTGAATTCCAGCTTGGTGCTCCTTTTCTTCCTTTCATTCTCTTCTTCCTTGCTTTGCTCCCATTCTCTCCTTCACTTGTTTTGAAGTGAATTCCAGCTTGGTGCTCCTTTTCTTCCTCTCATTCTCTTCTTCTTGCTTTACTTCATTTAAAGGTTTTAACGAGAGCCCAGACCTGTCTCAGGCATTTTGCTTTTGCACAGCACCTGGGGCAGGCTCCCACTGGATGTCACAGCACCCTGCCAAGGGCTCTGCTCTCGTGTTTTTCCAGCTGACCCAGAGATTTCAAACAGCAGTTTCATTTTTCCTCTTTTAATTTAATTGAGGGACGTAAAAGGAGCTTTTGACTTTTACTGGTGGAACCTGAGGAGGACTGAAGCAGTTTAAACTTGACAGACCTCAATGGTGCAGGGCACCCTTCTAAACTTTTGTTTACCTCCTGTGAGCTGCTGAAGAGAGCAGGGAAACAAGGGAAGGAAAGGAAAAAAAAATAAAAAAAGAAAAAAGGCAGCTTTCAGTTACTAAACCCCCTCGTGGCATTGAATTCTAACCAAGTACATCCAGCCCTGCCAGCCAGAAATGCCAAAAGGAGGAAAGCTGCTGAATCAGAGGAGAATCAGGGTTGGGAGGATGGTGGGGAATATGAGAGTAGCACTAGGGGAGTTCATTTCATAGAATTATTGCTGTTTTGTATTTGCACATCATCTGGGAGCAAACTTCTTGGTTTTTTTTTTTTTATTATCATCGCTGGGTTTTGTTCCTAAATTATTTAGCAAATGTTTTCTGGGAGCCACTTGCAGCATGCAGATGAGTTATCCCCAGCTCCTTGCTGGTCTCAGGAATGAGTTCTGCAGCTCTGAGCTGAGATTGCAAGATGCCAAATTTCTGAGCACCCTGGGCCGGGTAAAGCAGGAATTCCTGGTGCTCTGCACCCGTTGGGCTCAAATCTTATTTACAGGGAAAGGTTTGGGAGCATGGAAAAGTTTGGGAGCATGGAAAGATTAGGAGAGCATGGAAAGGTTTGGGAGCATGGAAAGGTTGGGAGAGTAGCAGCTTCTCCCCCTTTTGGAACTGGTTTGGAAGCATGGAAATGTTTGGGAAGCAGCAGCATTCTCCTTCTGGCATTCATTTTGGAGCAGGGAAAGGTTTGGAAGCATGGAAAGGTTTGGGTGCTTTGGGATTTGGGTTATTTGGGATTATTGTGGGGTCTGGGCTGGTCCAGACCCCCCAAATTTACGAGGCAACCACTTCTCAAGAAGAAAAATCTTTGATCCAAATGAAATAATTCCACTGCTGGTGGGAGCTTCAAGCAAGTGTCCATTTCCCTGAAGACTTTATTGGGGTGCCAACCCAAACTCAGTTGGATTTTGAGGCACGTTTTCAGCTCATTTATTGTTTTGAAAAACGCCACTCTGATGGCATTATCAGCAAACTGAGGAGATACAGCAGGAATGTCTTTGCTGAGCGTGATTTTCTGCAGGAAGCTGTGCTGATTAATGCCAATTTAGTTAGGAATAGAGGCTGGCCATGGCTGTGAGCTTCTCCAAAAGATCCTGTTGGGTCCTTTCTCCACCACACTCACATGTTTTGCTGAAGTTGCTGTTGCATATGCTTGGGCAATAAAACATTCACAGCTATTTCAGAAATTGCTGCAGCGGGCAGTTTTCCTCATTAATTTGACCATTCTGGATGGGATTTCACGAGGTGTGAAGGCGTGCAGAGTCGTACCTGACACTGCCCCTGCTCCTGCTTGTAATGCCAACCTCCTTGAGGAAAAAATGAAATCAGAAGAGGATGTTTGGGGGGAAATGGAAGTGGCAGCTCCACATCCAGTGATCAATCAGAAAATCACAAAATATCCTGAGCTGGGAGGGATCCACAAGGATCATCCATGTCCTGCTACTGCAGATTTACTCTGATTGTTCTTTGCTTCTTCTTGCCCAAGACTATGGAGACTTTAAAATACCTCCGGGAGCCTGCAGGGAGCAACGGGCTATAAAAATATAACAATAATGATTTCTTCCTCCCGCCTCCATCTGAGCAATCTCTGAGCGTGTTTCAAATATCAAAGAGCAAGAAACCCATTGTAGTGCTGTCCCCTGGGTAAAGGTGGGAAAAGGAGGCCCTGAGAGGTGGAAGGAATCGCACAAGGCTAAATGGAAAGCCAGTAGACAGACCTGAGGGCAGGATTTGGCTTTTGTCCCGATTTTGGGCAGATTTTTTTTAAAATCTGCGCCCAAACGCTTCATATCTTGTCAAGATTTGGATGTTTCCTGCAGAAATGCAGAAAGAGGAGGATGTTTCCTTCTCTTCCATTTTAAAAGTGGTGCCTGCACTAAAATATCACTACCACAGTGACAAATCAAAGAATTCTCTGCTCCATCTTCTATCCCAGGGCTGCACCTCAGCCTGACTCTCCTGGAAATATTAAGACAGATGATGGATAGGGACAGGTCAAAGCAGAGAAGATCTGGAATTATTCTTTTCACATCCCAAAAGAATGAGCTCGTGTTATTCCTCACTTTCAAATTTGCCCCAATTTATGGGGGAGATAAGGCTGGAATTTTGAAGGGCAGCATCACGAATTGCTTTTCTTATTGATCGAGCTTTTAATGCGCCAACAATGAAAACAATAAAACTTGCATTTAAAAACAAACATTTCTAGCACAGGAGCTGCATTAAAATGACACAAATTGCTTTTGTGGGCTGAATTCAACAGAACACCCATGAGGTTCCACTTAAAAACAACAAGCCAACAAAAATCAAATTGCATTGTTTTACAGGCAAACAAAATGGTGAGCGCGCCTTGGGCTACGTTTGCAGCGTGTTTTCTTGGGAGATCAAAGCTTAAATCCCATTAACCCTTCAAATGTCAGCCTGGTGAGTTCCTCTCCTTCACCTCTGAGCTTCTGGTGCCGCCTTCAGCAGGGAGCAGGGCTGGATCTGCTGCTCTTCCTCCTCCTCCTCCTCCTCCTCCTCCTCCTCCTCCTCGTTTCCCCACCAGCATCTCCACAGAAGCAGCACCTTGTAGTGGGCAGAGTTCAAACAGCCCCTTCAGCCAGCTCACACTGCTTGCCCTTTATGACTCTGAGATCTGGTCACAAGCCAGCACTCAAATACATTTATTTTGGTTTTTACCATTCACTGTGGTGTCTCAGGTTTAGTTTTCTATTTTTCAGGTTCTGCTCTGCTTTAGTGTGCGGGTCTGGGTTCACATCAGGGGATGCTGAGCTCTGTGCACAGAGCAGGGAGACAAAACAATTCCTGCTCCAGCTGGGCACCAAGGACAAATGATCCCAATCTCAGCCCAGGAGCACAAACACCGTGGGCTGGAGAGAGAAAAACGAGCAGGGTGGGACTGCAGGGGCTAAAGCTGGGATGGGACAATGAACTGCAAGGTGCAAATGGAGCGGAACTGATCCAAGGGAGAGACCCCGGGAGCGCTCGTGCATTTTGGGGGCATTTTGGTTCATCTTGGGTTCATTTTGGGGCCATTTTGGTTCACCTTGGTTTCATTTTGGGACCATTTGGGTTCACCTTGGGTTCATTTTGGGGCCATTTTGGTTCATCTTGGGACCATTTTGTGACCATTTTGGTTCATGTTGGGTTCATTTTGGCTTTGTTTTGGGACCATTTTGGGACATTTTGGGTTCATTTTGGGACCATTTTGGTTCATCTTGGGTGCAGCCCTGGCTGGGCTCTTGTGCTGCCCAAGGTGCATCCATTGAGAATATTCTTTTAATAAATCCCTGCTTTATTCTGTTACTCTGTCTAATCTCTGTTCTAGCTCAGCCTTCATTACCCTCCTGGCAAGTGGCTGAATGAGGTTTTGTTGGCCAGCAGAGCCATTTTGGAGCAAATTAAGATTTGTTGGGTGCTTGTTAAAGACCTCTTGGACATCAGGTATGTTGGTGATGGATTGGTGTTGGTTGGTCACTCATAGTGAAGAAAAGATGATTTATTTTATGGTTTGTCACCTATGCCAATGACCAATGGGCATCTCACTGCTTCCTAAATAAATCAATGCCCACAAGATGCCACTTCCTGAGGGTTTGCTGCTTTCTTGGGGACAACAAATGAATATTTTGCACAAATATTCCTGTTCCACGTGGTGGCCAGATCCTAATCTGCCTTCACCATCATTTCCCTGCTCTGCTTGGACCTTGCCTTGTGTGTAAATACAAAAACCCTTCCAAGCATTGTTAATTCCAAATATCTGCGAGTCCACATACATCACAAAGATCAGGAAGACAGAACAGATGCAGCATTTTGGGACTGGTTTGGGGAGCAGGGAAAGGTTTGGAACCATGGAAAGCTTTGGATGCTTTGGGATTTGGGTTATTTGGGAACAGGACAAGGTTTGGAAGATGGAAAGTTTGGTAAAACAGCAGCTTCTCCGCCTTTTGGAACTGATTTGGAAGCATGAAAAGGTTTGGGAGCATGGAAAAGTTTGGAGAGCAAGGTTTGGGAAGCAGCAGCATTTTCTCCCTTTTTGGGACTGGTTTGAGAACATGGAAAGGTTGGGGAGCATGGAAAGGTTTGGATGCTTTGGGATTTGGATTATTTGGGAGCAGGGAAAGATTTGGAATATGGAAAGGTTGGAGAGCACGGAAAGGTTTGGGATCATGGAAAGGTTGGGGAGCATGGAAAGGTTTGGGGAGCAAGGTTTGGGGAGGAGCAGCATTTTCCCTTTTTTGGGACTGGTTTGAGAGCAGGGAAGCATTTGGGATCATGGAAGGGTTTGAGGAATGGCAGCTTCTCCCCTTTTGGAACTGGTTTGAGAGCATGGAAAAGTTTGGGGAGCAAGGTTTGGGGAACAGCATCATTTTCCCCCTTTTGGAAGTGTTTTGAGAGCAGGGAAAGGTTTGGGATCATGGAAAGGAGCAGCAGCTTTTCCCCTCTGAATTTCTGGGAGCTGCAGGATTTATCCCCCCAGCCTGTGCTGATACTGAGAGTCCCATCAGATGCTTGAAGCACTTGGAAACTTTCCAGCAGCAAGGGGTCAAAAGGGAGGATTTTTTTTTTCATGAAATCCAGGAAAAAAAGCAAAGAAAGGAAGGGGAAGGAGGAGGCTGAAGCGAGGAGCTGTGGCAGAAGGTGGAATGGCCCAGCTCACCCAGAGCAAGCTGCATTCCCCTCGCCGGGCCCCCTGTGCACATGCCAGAGCTGCCTGCAGCAATGTGCAGCGCCAGTGCCAGCCCCCAGCTGCATGCAGCTGTGTCCAGCTGTGCCTCCCGCCCCTCACCGCTGCATTTTCACACAGCAACTGCCCCTGTCCAAAGGGCTCCCGGCTCATTGCTGCAGCCTGACAGCGCTGGGCGGTGTTGGGAGGCAGTTTGGGGATATTTAGGAGTGGCAGAGCTTGTTCTTGCACACAGGAAGGTTTTATTGCTTCCCCTTCAGTGCAAACTCAGCTGTGTCTTTCCCCTCAATTTCCCCTTTTGCTACTGGGACAAGGAAATGAAGAGAAAGGAGGGAAACAACAACAACAACAACAACAACAACAACAACAACAACAACAACAAAAACAAAACAAAAAAAAACCAGTGGAAACCCAAATCTATCTCCAGACAGCTGATTTTGCCTTTTCAGGCACAATTTGAGAGGAGCTGGGAGGGAATTGCCTGTGCCACCCTCTGCCAGGGGTTTTGTCTCTGCAGCTCTGCAGCTCTTGCAGAGACTTGTCCCAAAAAAATCCACATTCCACAGCCAGAGCTGCCAGGATGCTGCTTTCCCCTCACTTTTCCAGGGGATTTCAGAAGCTGCCTGGAAACCCAGATTCCAGGAGAATTTCCCTGTACAATGGGTTACAGTTAAAGAGGTTTGCTTCAAAAGCAGCGTGGTGGCTAAGTCCAATTTCCAATGAAAAATTTCCAATCACCAAACGAAAAATTATTAAATGAAAAATTTCCAATCACTAAATGAAAAATCATTTCGTTTTGTATGATCTTTTGCTTTTTTTCCCCCTAATGCCATCATCATTTTTGTGCTCTGCTGGTTTGAAATGCAGCTCCTTGCCCTGGTGCCAGTTTGCATGGCGGAAAGGCTGACCTGGGCACTGGGTGGCAAATTCCAGGATTCCCAAAATCCTTTCAATCCAATTGAACAGAGATATTCTCAACTCTGAGGGAATATCCCCAAAGCAGCTCTGAGGTTGCTTTTCAATGAGTTGGGGATATCCCCGTTTTGTCCTTGCTGTGGGATGATGGATGTGGAAAATTCGCATTTTGCTTCCATCTGAGCGTTGCTGCGATTCAGCATAGAAAATCATCCCCTCATGGGGTGCTGGTGGTGCTTTTGGGGTGGGAATTTGGGATCCCACCCCACAGGGTGGTCCTGGCCTCTCCTTTACCCCACAGACACGCTGAGCTTGGCCAGGCTGAGCTTTTCCCCAGCTCCACGTTCCCACACAGCAATTCCCATACAAGAAATTAATATCTTGGGGTTTTTTCCTTTTGGGATTGCCAGGAAGTGAAGGCATCAAACAAGCAGGACCTGGTGGGCTCCAGAGGCATCCTGGAGCCATTAGATATGGCTGGCATTTGATCCAACAACTGAGCCTTTCCTGGTTTATGGATTCCCCTATTTGTGTCCATGCATGCACAATGGGCCCCATTATCGACCCCAGAGCAGGGCAGATGTTTCCCACCCCAAAAAATCCATTTCTCTCAGGCTGACACACACAGAGGACCTCCAAGGTGCACGTTTCTGGGGTTTATGGACATTTGGGGAGCAGAGAATTCCCTCCCTGCGTGGTTTGCTCACGTTCCCATCAGGAATAAAAGCTGGGATGGTGGAAGGGAGCGGCTGCTCTCAGCTGGGGCCTGCTCAGGGCTCTGGGCTTGGGCACACCTGGGCTTTGGGAGAGGTTTTATCCATCAAAATGATCTCCTGATTGCTGGTGTTGGTAAAAAATCGCTCTTTGAGGGGACGGGATTGGGGTGCGAGTGGTTAAAGAGGGGTCTCTGGGTCTGAAAGGGAATTCTGGGTTTAAAAGGGGTTCAGTAGGTCTCTGAAAGGAGATCTCTGGGTCTTAAAGGGGATCTCAGGGTCTAAAAAGAGAATTTGAGGTTTAAAAAAGGTTGGAAATGGGTTCAGCTAGGTCTGAAATGGGATCTCTGGGTCTAAAAGGGGATCTCTAAGTCCAGAAGGGGATTTCTAGGCCTAAAAGGGGATTTCTAGGCCTAAAGGGGATCTCTAGGTCTGAAAGGGGACCTCTGGGTCTAAAAAGATAATTTAAGGTTTAAAAAAGAGAATTCGAGGTTTAAAAGGGGTTCAGCTACTTCTGAAAGGGGATCTCTGGGTCTGAAAAGGGATCTCTGGGTCGTGAAAGGGATCTCTAAGACCAAAAGGGGATCTCTACGTCTGACAGGGGATCTCTGGGTCTAAAAAGAGAATTTGAGGTTTAAAAAAGAGAATTTGAGGTTTTAAAGGGGCTCAACTAGGTCTGAAAGGAAATCTTTGGGTCTAAAAGGGGATCTCTAAGTTCAAAAGGGGATTTCTAGGCCTAAAAGAGATCTCTAGGTCTGAAGGGGAATGTCTGGGTCTAAAAGGTGAAAAAAGGCCAATTCTGATATTTTCCAGGTGTGCAAAATGGGATCATGTTCTTCTCCAAAGAAGTGGAATCAGAGAACAACTAATTTCTAAATATTGAGCCACCAAAATATTGATAAAGGAATGCTTTTCATTTAGGCTGTTGCCTCCCTGTGAAAAACCATTGTTCTGGGGAAAATAAAAACAATTTATTGATTCTGTTTCTACTCAAGATGGAGCATTCCTGAGGTGGAGGTGTGCTTCCCATCCTCTCCCAAATTACACGCTCCAATTTTCCATTTGGAAATTACTTTTCACTTCTGTTTTTGTATAGCACGAATCTTTTTTTTAAAAGTACAAAATAGAAATGGAATTCGGATTTTAGTTGGAGCTGGGGAAGAAATATTTTGTGTGGGAACTGAGAGGATCTTTGAGGCATCTCAACATTTTGAGCCCTCCTTCTTCTGATTTTCCAAAATCCACCTCAAAAAAAATGTGGGGGGAAAAAAACCCAGAAATGCAGGAGAGATTCCAGCTTACAAGGAGCAGCTCAGTGTGAAGGTCAGCTCTCCATGTTCCTGCACAGCACGTGCCAGAATATTTCACTGCTGGGACAGAAAGTCTGTATTTAGGCAGCAATAACTCACGGGAGGGATTGACAGGTTGGAATGCACCTGGTTCAGGCTCTTGGTCGCTAATATCATTCCCAGTTTTCCCTGCTGAAAGGCAGCTGGGATGGTTTATGGGATGTCCAGTTTTTCTTGGGGCTGTTTTAGTTAAATGTGCCCCCAAAAATTAAACTCGTGGGGTGGGATCCCTCGAGGGACAGATAAATTGGAAAAGCCTCAGTGTTTCCCATGTGGTTGTGCCAAATTTCTCCCTTTAAGGACCCCCCCAAAAAACACCAGAATCTTCCCAAAAATCACCAGTTGCTTCTGAAAATCGAGGCCAAGCTCCTGAGCTGGCAATTTGTTTAAAAACAATGGGGGCTGGACGAGATGAGAATTATTTTAACACTTGGGAACGCTGCCAAGTCATTTCCTTCTCCTTTATTGATTTTTTCCGTTGCCAGTAAATATATCTGCGGCAGCAGGATGAAAGGAGAGGGGGGGAAAAGCAAAGTGTTAAAAAGGAGAATGAAACAAGATATGTGCCCTGAACCTCTGAGGAAGGAGGAGGACATTTTAAGGCGGGAGGAAGCAGGGGATTCATGGAGGCATTTCGCAGGGTTAGACGCGGCAGCAGACAGCCCAATATTATTTTCCTTGCCTGATCCTTTACTTAGATTGGCTCCTGTTTCTTGCCCTCATTGTGCAGCCCCTGTGTGAGCTGCTCTCCGTGCAGAGACATTCCACCTACATTCC